TACTTTTATATCACCCAGAAACTGAATGGTACTGCTCACATGTAACTTATCAGGGGCAGAGCTATTAGGTAATAAACTATCCAAAAAGGAAAAGCATTAATTTAATCTGAGCTTCAGAGAATAAGACTACCTTATTCTCTTAAGTGGCACCATGAGGTATATTAGTTATATGATTTTAATGACAGTGTGGACATATTAGTTGTCCACCTGGAAGAGTGGAAATACTATACTTTAGACAGTTCTCCAAGGAGTAACTCGGGAACATTAAACAATGTATATGTTTAAGCCCTTCTACCCTATTCCCTGTAATTTTGATTTAATTGGTCTGGCAGGGGGCCCAGGTGTCAGTATTTTAATAGGTCCTCAAGTGATTCCAACATGCAGCTAGGGTTGAGAATCACTGATTTGGACTAGTGGTTCTCAAACTTCAGCGTGGCATAATCACCCTGAGGGCTTATTAAAACATACTGCTGGCTCCCATCCCAGAATCTGATTCAGTACGTCTGAGGTGTGGCCTAAGAATTTGCATTTTTACCAAGTTCCTAGATGATGCTGGTCTGAGGATCACTGATATATAGACAAATCTTCTGAATTTAAGTGAATCAAAACTCATTTTGTTATTTTAATTTTAAAAATGTGTTCTTGAAGGCTGGCAGAGATTTTTCTCTATTGTAACTGACTTTTTCTATCCAACCTTAAATTCCATGAATTCACTTTTCCTTTCTGTTACCAGGGATGGTGTTATATCAGTAAATAGAAACAGTGGCCAGTTTACTGATGAGTATCTTCCAGAGCAGCGATCTCATCTCTACGGGATAACTGCCGTCTACCCCTACTGCCCAACAGGTAAATGAACATGCTCAGGCTGTTCCTTTGGATCAGCAGGGGAGAGAAGGCTGTATCTGGTTAACTGATTACCCTTGGCCCAGATACTGGCTGCTGCCACTGACATCGCCACCAGCAAGAGCCACTTTGAGCTGGAAAAATTAATGGCCAACACATGGGGGTGACAAGTCTTTACTACCTTAATTCTACCTAGGTTAACTAAACACAAAAACAGTCAGCCTATTAGGATATTTCCCCTTTAAAAGACTTGCTGTTGCAGCTCAGTTATAAAATACTCACCCACTGTCCCCTCACCCCACCTCCCCTCACAGGAAGAAAGTAAATATGGCATCGTAAAGGACTTGGAGTTTACAATCAGAATCTGAACCCTAAAGAACATTTACTGCAAACAAAAGTCGAAGAAAGTGAAAAAGGAATTGGCATTAGAAGTTCCTGGACATATAAGATGAACATTTTCAGTACAAAAAGACTAAGTATACTTTTTGAAAAGTTTATACCTCAATCTTTACTACTGTATTTTTTTAAAAAGCCAAGTTTAAAAAAGTTAATAGAATTTTAATTGTTGCTTATTAAAGCAACTTTTTATAAAACATTTATAGCATATTTACAAGGTCAAATTCATTCAACTAAGAACCAAATATCTTGAGACCTTAAATCTGATTTTTGCTATGGGTTCTTTTTAGCCAAGAAATTCAAATACAGGTGACCAGTATAAAAAATACAATCTTAACCCCTGACACAGTGAGAGGCTATGCAGAACTGATGGGAAAGAACCAACTTATTTATAGTTTCCCAGCAAAAGTTCTAAGATTTTTTTTTTTACCTCTGTATCAGTGCATTTCTATTTATATTAAAAGGTGCTAGAATGTTTCAATTTGTATTTTCTGATCCTGTAAGTCCCTCTATAGAATTACCCACAGAAATTACATTTATAAATACCAAAGTTGTATCAGTTCTCAAATTCTCTAGATTACTCCAATAAAATATTTTAAAGTTTTCCTATGAATATAAGGATCTGTATTGTTTCTATAACAAAGTTGGGGGTTGGCAGGTACCTTAATCACAAAGGAAGTAGATTAATTATACATAAACATAACACAGTCAAAAACCAATCCACTTT